ACTGCTTTATCTGAAGCATCCACCATCAAAGCAAGTGGGGAAAGAGAATTCGGATATGTCAACGTAGTTGCATGAGCCATTTTATCTTTAAGCTGTTTAATAGCTTCGACGGCGTCAGAAGACAGTTTGAATTCTTTTGGTTTTCCTTTAAGTGAATCTGTTAAAGGTTGCATTAATTGTGCACCACAACCTGGTATGAATCTGCGATAAAAGTTAATTAGACCTAGAAAACTTCTCATTTGTGTTAGAGAGCTAGGTATCGGGTATTGTTTGATGGTATCCACTTCATTTTTATAGGTTTAATCCCTTCTGGGCTTATTGTGTGACCGAGAAATTCTAAAGTTTGAACACCGAAAACACACTTACTTTGATGTATGTTTATTCCATGTTCATTCAATCTTTTCAACACTGCTCGTACATGCTATTCGTGTGATTGCAAATCGGGGCTGGCAATTAACAAGTCGTCTATATACCCCTGCGCAAATGGCATATCTCGAAGTAGGTTATCTATGAATCTTTGAAATGTCTGTGCCGCATTCTCAGGCCGAATGGCATGCGTACAAACTCGAATAAGCCAAAGGATGTTGTAATAGCTGTCTTGGGGATATCTTCATCAGCTACCGGGATATTGTGATATGCCCTGACTAAGTCAATTTTAGTGAATATGTTCATACCCAGTAAAACGTTTGTGAAATCTTGGATATGCGGTATTGGGTACCTATCTGGTACGGTTTGACGGTTGAGGGCTCTGTAATCCCCGCACGGTCGCCAGTCACCTTCATTCTTGTTTGAGACCATATACAAAGGGGATGCCCATTGACTATCAGAGGGACGGATAATACCCAGTTGTAGCATATAATCAAACTCGGCCCTAGCGATTTTGAGCTTATCTGGTGCTAGTCTCCTGGGTTTTGCAAACACCGGTGCACCTTCGGTTTTGATAGTGTGACTTACTTTTAGTCTGTCTTTGGAAGGCTGTGGGTTTGGTTTAGTTAAGTTTGAAAATTCCGCGAGTATATCTTGAAATTTTGCTGTTGTTACTGGAGGGGTTTGAATCAAGTTAAGAAAGCTGATGTGACTTTCTTTGCCTTTTGTGTAAAACGAAGTTTCTTTTAGTGTTAATCGCCGTTTCTTGGTGTCAACTAGAAATTCGTATCTCTCTAGAAAGTCCATCCCCAGTATTGCCAGATCTAAGTCGGCTACCGTGAAAACCCAAGGGAATTGCCTTCTGAACCCCAAATCTAGGGTTAACGTTTTCTGCCCAAATGTCGCGATTGTAGTTTTATTTGCAGCTTGAAGTGTAATCGGGGATGTTTCTCGACTAATCTCAGTTTTATTTCGAGGGATGATGCTAAGAGCAGCGCCAGTGTCCACCAAGAAATTCAAGCCCGAGTTTCTGTCTCTGACATAAAACAAGCGACTGTTTAGGCGCCCTCCTCAGTTGTCGCGACCTGGGGAGGGGTTACTCGTTTCCCGCTGTCTTGGAATTATGCTTAGGCCAGGCGCATGGTTGCCTGCACTTGGTTGAGTTGACACCAAACTTCCAGTGGTACCAACAAAACTGCCCAGATTGTCTGGACATTTGTGACTTGGATCGTGATCGTTGTGGTGACCTGCTCCTGTTTGTATGACCCATTTGCATTCTGGTGACAGCCTCAGTGAGACTCTTAACACTCGCAATGAGTCCTTCTATGACGGGGTCTTTTGCTGATTCTACTTTCTGTGTGTGATTTATTGTGCCTGATCCAGTTGGCGGACCTCTTTCCATTATTCTATTAGCTATACGCGCTAAATGAGATAATGAGGTTTCAGGATCTTGTGCATCCAAACAGTGTTGGACGTAGCATGGGAGAGCTTGTATCCATCCTTGTTTTAGGTCTGCTTCACCCACTGTGTTATCACCCACTAGGAGTTGGAGGTGACGTAAAAACTGTGACGGCGACCTATCACCCAGTGTTTCTCTTTGAAAAAGTCTTTGGATTCTTGGACTGTCTGATAATGATAAACGGTTCATTATCTCTCGTCCTAAGATGGTGTATAGTTGTGGTGATGGTGGACTTAAAATCAAGTCACGGATTTCTTTGTCGACTGAAGGAGGAATGATGGAACACAAGTCTCTATAGCGAATCCCTTCAGATTTCATATTGTGTCTCGTGAAATAACGCTCTAGTTGAGCAAATCACAACTCAGAATCACTACGATCAAATTCTGGTAGTTGGGATTTCGTAGTCATAACAGTGTTTATCTCCGCTGGCGACAAATACTCCAGATTGTGGGTTTCTTTTAAGTCTGACATGAGGTATGTGACAAATATAGCAATAAAATTAGCACGAAAAAATGGTTTCTATAACACGAATAACCTAAGATAATAAAAAAATAAACTATTTATATACCCAACTTAGTTTACGAATAATCAGGTCTACTTTTACGATTGAGTAAAAAAATAATATTAATAACAAAAATGCAGTTAATTTGTGTTCAAAAAGGGCTCACCAGTTTCGTGCCTATAGGTAACCCTCGTGCTATTGATAGAAGAAACCAGACAAGTAGTGAATAGGTCTTTATTTCGATCTTTGCGCAGTCACAGTGGAGCGTGTGATTATCTGTTCAGACAAACAAAAGGCTTTCAACATTCAATATAAGATAATAAGGAATATAACGCTTATACAAAATAAGGAAGTGAATGAATACTTGAACAATACTGTTTTGGCATATGCTTGGTTGTTTGGGGTCAACTCCTAACCAACCAACCTATGCTGTTGCAAGGTCTCCTCGTTTAAGAATCGAACGTTTCAGGATTTCGTAGGGTTCGGAAACATCACTAGTAAACATACTAGGTGTTACGTACCTGTTGAATTCGCGCGGTAGTGCCTTGACTACTGTGAGGAATTGTGCACGTTTGTCGATCACGCCGTGCTCGGAGAAGTCAGCTTCTGCGTAGCAGAACCAGGCTTCGATATTGTCGGGCCAGAAAGGCATGAGTTGAAACGAAGGCGGGGACAAAGTCTTAAGCTTGAGTACTTTGGGTGTCTGTTCAGACATGATGAAATATGAAGTACGATAATGAACGAGGGGAAAATATAAATATATCCAAGAAAAAACACGAAAAAAATCACAATGTTTAAAAAATAAGGTAATAATATATGAAAATCCCAAAAAGGAACAGACTCACAGTTGCAATTAGGTGTACCAGATCACGACGGTCTCACCAATGAAGATGATACAGGTATTCAGTGTTTGACAACGCTTCTATCAGTAACACCTAATATACTTTGTTCCCACCGAGAGAAATTAATAGACAGAGTCGAGGAGATCGGAAGAGCGTATTTGGCGATAACCAATATTATCGGGATCTGATCTATTCTGGCTAGCGATTGCGATAGGTGTTTAGCACAGCGTTACCACACGTGATCTGGTGCGGATACATGACCGAGAGCCTTCAGTTAGATGAGTCCACTAAAGCATATGGTCAGCATCCAATGTCGAAAACCTACAGAGCTATTTAGTTTGGGGATTTATTTACCGCTACGGTTGCAAACAAATTACTTTCTCTATACATTAACGCTAATAGTACACCAAAGTTACTTGAAGCTGCTTGTAGGAAAATAAATAAAGCCGAACAAGTCACGTCCCCGAATCACAAAACTTCTTCAAGAAAAGCAGGATACAGCAGAATGGCTAAATGAACAGAAGAAGTGGAACCATGCATACCCTCGTTAAACACAAGTTACCTTATATGATCAAATACATTGCTCCAATTCATGTTTATGTAGCAAATGTTTTGCAGGAGCTGCATGTGAATGAGGATGTACGTTTGCCGAATTTTCTTACTTGCCAGGGAACATCTTCATGCTTAAGGAGATCCTGGTGAAATTCAATTGACAAGTCGTCAACTCCAAATAAAACGACCTAAGAGGTTCACTATTTCATGACTCATTACAAGTACTTAGATAAACGCCATACATTCGTACCTTACTGAACAAGTCACAAAATGAGCGTCTTTTATATTTTAATATCTTTCACTGTTACACAATAAACCAAAATAGACCTCAGTTGTGCTTTATAACTATCGCCCTGAAAGACTTCATAGAAACTGTCATCAAAGGCCTAAAATCTAGAAGCAAATTCACAACACCAACACAGCAAACATTTATAAAATGGAATTTATTTATCAATAAGCTGATAAATTCTAAACCCATAAAAGTCTTTCAACATAACACATATTTTTTCATCCGAATAAAAAAATTATATCCAGAGACCACGTTAATTCGCAACAACTTTTATGGTCCCGACAGACTCGTGGTTGAATACGTAATAGAGAATACTGAATTCAGTACAAACTCATTCTTATACTGGAATTGGTGGGACAACGAAGCATGTTGATGCCCACAACAAAAACTTAAAAACCAAGAAAAACGACAGTAAAGATAAAATCTGAAAATAAAAAAATGTCGTTTTGTGTACTTAGTACTGACTTACGATAAAATCTAAAATAGGATTACCTAATGCTTGTTGAAATTTAAAGATAGAATAATGATAAGTGACCTAAAATTTACAAATTTATTCCCAAAGTAATGACCACTTCGAACAGAATAGAATAAGCTTTCACTTAATGTGCTTCTGTATTTAGTGGCAATGGATCACCGATAACTCCAGGCAGGAACCTGCGTATATTATTGATAAAACAGGAAAAGAAAAAATGTCAAATCCTTAAGAATATGCCGAGTTTTCTCTTGAAGAACTTCTGGGAAGTAGCTTGGACTAGCTCAGCTGGCAGAGAATTACAGCAATTGGTTACTTTTATGGAGTAGAAGATATGTCTACAGTTCGTTTTGCGATGCTATGTCTCCAGTTTCTGGGTCCTTGCCCTTCGGTTTGTGAGCGTAATAGTTACCACACAAAATAATATCAAATAATTTCGGCTTTCTGTCCTCAAACCGGAAATCAGATAAAATTAGAAGGTCTATTTGTTGTAGGAGTTGTTTGTTTGCTTCGACCTTGCAAGTATCAACTTTGTAAATTTGGTTCAAAACCGATTGGTGTGTGAGTGTTGGTTCATTTTTGTGGATGGTTCTCTTTTCGTTCAATGATAATAAGTGTTAAAAGTGTAAGTCACAAAATAGTCTGTTTAATATTATTGTATTTTTCAACACAATCGCTTGCATTCGTACGGAAATGCACTTGGGATAGAAGTTCTAACAACTACATTCAAAAACTGTCTTATTTAGAGGTCTCAAGGAATGCAATAACAGGGGTTTCACTAAGACGAACCCTTCAAAGGCAAAAAAAGTGCAGCTTTATTTCATAAAATGAAAGTTACATAGACAATGAAATGAGTTTTGGTTGCACTGTAGAGTCAGTTAGTTTAAGAGAAACAATAATATACTTTGCCAAAGTAACAATACTTTGGTATCAAAATTGTTAAGAAAAAGTATCTTTTCTGTATAATTGTAACATTCGGGTCTGAAATGTTATTAATTAGTTTACTAGATACAGATTCGTGTATTTCGCTGAAAGCTACACTTCAGGTTTGATGTTTAAAGATATTACTCAGCTGCCCAAAACAAAGTAGAGGGAGCGACTTAATGGTTAAGAGTCAAACCAATTGGCTTGCTGCTTTAGAAGAGAGGTGAGACGCTATTGACGGTAGTATTTCGAGAAGCTGGTTTGTATCACATTGTCGATATGCACCATACGCCGTATCCCAGACGTGCTGGCCAACTAAACAATATAATACTCTGTTTCCTTCGTCCGGCGTACTATCTTTTCCACCTGACACGAATAACTTACGAGTCAAGATATTTTTGAAGTTTTGTGAATTCATAGTGTTTTGAAGTCATTTACTATATCAATCCCAGCAAAGTAGCTACTTTTGGAAATGACGAGAATGTAATGATGTCATTCTAATTTTACTGTTCATCCATAGAGATTGCGTAGCGATCTGTTTATATATATTTAACCCCGTATGATTTTCGTTTCCAAGCCTTGTACGTTGTTGAAATAAAATAAAAAGTTTAGTTGATGAACGAGACAAGTGAGCACACACAAACGTAACTGCGCATTATAATCTTATTGAGGCGTTTCGTTTACCAACAGCAATTCAATTTTTTAAGCTTTTACTCATAAAGAGATAAACAAAGTAGTCTTTTTCTGAAAAGGAACAAATAATGTTCCCCAACCAGTGCTTTACTCACCAAATGTTTGTGATAACAAAGCAAGCACTTTTAGGTACTCCACAGAAGTGTTGGTTTTTCTGACAACAAAAGCGACAATTATAAAAACATTTTATTTGTTAACCAGGAAGCTCATTGATTGGGTTCAGTAAACCCTGCAATATGAATATCTTTATTTGATGCAGCAACAAAGATAGCATGCTAATGGTATTAAGACGGAAGTTTTGTCGGTGTCAATACGATTAGATTTATCAGTCTTTTTTTATGGAAAGTAATATTTGAAGATATAAACCATCCAGGTTTCTCTTCAGATGCACGCCATGTCACTGCGACCTTATGTTGCGTGAATGGTTTTTTACTCGGTACAATCAGTTGTGATAACAGGTGATTTTAGTTACGGCGGAAGTTGTCTACCAAAAAGACAGGTTAAACTTACAATTTGACGACTACAATAAGTGATGAGCGTCTCGAAAAGGATGCTTTGTTGAGTCTACTCGTTTAGTAGTTCAGTTTAATTTACTGTTTAGCAAAGAAAATAATATTTACATTACGTTGGTTTATTCATCTATTTTACATGTGATTTTCTGAAATCTGTGGTAGACTAGTAAAACCGTAAAGTTCACATAAATCTAAATTGCTAGTAAGAAGCAAAATATGGAAATCAAAAGGTTTATCAAAATCCTTACTGAGCTAAACAAATAATTAACCTGATTATTTTCATTTTCAAGCTGCAGACTGGCTAGAAGGTGGAATAATCCTTTTGGGATTCATAAAGCCAGTTCACATGACTACTGGTTTCAGACGAGCGTTTTCAGCGTTCATTTGTTTAGTGACAGGCTAGGTTGATTGATTTCCGATTGCTTGGATTATAAGAGGAGCAGTGGTCAGTTCACCATCAGTTTTGCTGTTCATGCGTTTAAAAAACAAGATGTTTCTGAGCATTAACTTTTTTACTTCTTGCCTCAGGCTGATTTAAACGAGTTCTTTAAAATAAGCTTCGTCTAAATGTCATTTTGAACCTTGCATAGAAAATGAAACTGCGGGTCCTCAAAATCATGACATATGTTAATTAGAAATGCTCGACAGTTTGGCTTTGGCGTTCCACACTGTGATCTGTAGATACGTCTACTATATTCCCTGACCAGAAACCGATTTTCATCATTAATTACTTCTCTTGATTTCTAATTTCACATATTTCAAGGTAAACCACCGTACATTGCTCTGTGTCGTTTTTATTTCAAGAACTGTTACTCCACTGGATGTTTATAAATATCGATGCTAATTTTTTGGATTAAATAATCACCGTCAAAAACAACAACCTAACCACTATAATTATATCATTGTATCCCTATGTTCGTAAAATGTTTTCATATAATTTGTATTCGTTTGTCTGTATTCTTAGTACTATTTTATCTAGACGAATAGACGCCATGTATCTAAAAGATACCTGAGGAAGTAGTTAAACACTTTGGTAAGTAAAATGTTTCATTTTTCCGAGTGCCTAACTTGGAATGCAACTGTACTCTGCGAAAAATCAACTGTTCCATCATTTCATGTCCCAGTTACATGGGTCGATGTAGAACGCAAAAGAACACCTTCAGAATTTCCTGCTGAAACAGGGTGATTAACTTGATATTACTAGTTTAAATAAGATCATTCAAATAAATGTTTTATCTTGTAGCTTGGAACTTTGTTGTGCAAGTTGTAGTTCACTGTTTTAATCGCTCAGTTCTCGATTGCTGTCACTGTTTAACATACCAAAGTTTAAACAACCAATTAATATCGTTATCTTCCGGAAAATCCTTGTATCTTTTTAAAATTGTTGCTAAGTAGTGATTCTATAACAACCTAACCTTTTCTGTTTATCCCATAAGACCACACTGTGTAGATAACCTAAATTAGTCGTTACTTACTGTTGTAAAACCAAAATGTATTAGGGTTCACTCTTCAGACCCTACACAAGTAATGCTCAATACATTCATATATCAAAGTCAATTAAAATAACTTCCACGAATCTAAATCCTGCGGAAAATCATCTCAGTGTTATAATTTCATGGTTCATAACTTTAAAGCCTTTCACTATGATAACCCACACCTAAAGCTAATGCTTTTTTAAATTTTTTAGGGCTGTTGTCGTCCATGGAATCACCTGAGAAGCAAACTCCCAGGTCTAGCAATGCATTTAAAAACCAGCCTGGGCGAGGTCGAACTGCCTCACACGTCAAGAGGTCTAATGATAGGACAAGTCGTTCAATGGCTAGTAGACGTACATCTGTAGACTCAAGGAAAAAAAGTAATCCCAAATGTAGTAGAGGAAAAGCTTATGCTAAGGTGATTACTATGTTTAAATATTCAGTGATGTATACACTACAATCGCCTAGTAACTACAATCAACTAAGCCAGTATGTTTTTTGTTTGCTGGAACATTTAATGGAACTCAGTGAGTAAACATTTTCTCACCTCAGAATGAAATTACGTTTGTATACTTAGAAGTCACGTTTTACATAGTCGCCAAAATCGTTTGCGTTTCGTCTGCTCAGATGGGTATTACCTAGAGAGAATTTAACGATCGCGATAGACATTCGTCTTAGCAATCCCCTCTCCAATTAGAGAGAAATTGATGTCATATGGTGTATGGGAGCGTAGAATTTCCTACTTATCAGTCAACCAGTAGGCTGCAGGTCCAACCCTTTCTCCACTTCATTTGAAGCAGTCAGGTATTATCAGCTTTTACAAAACCTATGTGACTCAGTCAAATACCTTTACCTGGTAAATGAATTACATAATTGTTGTTACCAACCGGTTCCAAATAATAACTTACTCCAATATGTAATGCTCCCATCTTATTTTTATCTGCGAATAATTTCGGCTGTTAAAATGCAATGAATTTTCGCAAGATCTCGCTTAAATATTGTCGCTTTTGAATCAGATGTTACTACACTACGACTTCAATTAGTCATTCAGTTTCGTGGCCCACAAATTGGATCATTTCATTACTTTTTTAGTATCGAAATCAATGTATTCCTAATCCCTATTGCATGTAAAGTTATGTTCTGGCATTACTTAACCCTGAATTTTACGATTTATTAATTCTTAATGATTGCATACCCTTGTTTATTGCTCCAGCCCGTTTGCAAAACTTATGAGAAATGACTATGTGATTCCTAACCATGGAAACTCAACTATCTATTCAGCTTACGATCTCACGGTCTATCTGAAAGAACAAAAATATAAGTACATATAGATCTATTCACCGAAAGCTGAATAACAAACATCAACTGTCTTGCATAACGTGTATATGTTATGATAAAAGACTTTGTAAGAGTAAAATCAGTCATTAACTGTGGCATGTGCGGAAATAAATAGTCGTCGCAAATGTTTTTGTTTTTACATTTGAAATTATCAGCTTAATTTTTCACATACGTATTCACTTTTTTCCGCCTAAAATTGTGTAAAATGTGATTGTTGTCAGATTATATGCTGAAAATTCTGTTCTGTACCTACACATTTTGTAACGAGGAAGGTGATTATTATTTACTAGTATTCTAATCAGTGAAGATATTCTTGGTTAGCTTAACATCCGATGAAATGATGTATGTTAAATCACATATCTAAGTGTTTTTTAAGTGCTCTCAGTTATCAGAACTTCGTTGTACTTAATCGCACTACCTGGCTTAAATAGCACATTTTGTTGTCAGTAAATGTAATCAGTCTTATTGAAGCCGCGTTTATCGCCAACTGAAAGTGGCCAGTTCAAGTTAGTGCAGAAGTGAAGTGTGCTGGCTGAAAAATTATACAGGTTAACGTTGCAGCGATAAAACCAAGAGTATTTCAGACTAATCTGGCCACTGTATCTTCTTGTGATACAGTATTCTGCGCTTATTCTATGCCTTATTTCCCTTAAAGTCAAGTTACCTGAATGTCAAATACCTCTCCATACCATTGACATTCATTTATTTTTTTCATTTTAGTTTACTTACGATACTTCAGTGACCCTGGCAGTTATGCAAAGATGCAATAATTCATTTAGTCACAACTTTTTATTTTAATCTCATTGGGTATGTCTCGAGAAAATAAGGAAACTGAGTATATAGATCGATTGTTTACCAAGCCCATAATGCTTAAGTGTATATACTTTCGACTTAGTAGTTAAGGTGTTCGACTTTCCGCCGCCAAGTCTCGGATCCGAACCTCATTCCACCTTCAGTTTGGGTGGTAGGATAGTATCACTAACACCAAAGTACCCGGTGAATGAGTTAATTGTTATTATCACATATTTCTGGATACTACTGCTACTATTCATTTCAAAGTACATGATTTTTGAACTGTATTAATGAAAGTAATTTTCTAACGTTGAATGGTAACAAATTAGACTCATTTTTCTTTTTTGTAGCTTATTCAAACCAAATCTCAACGTAGAATCCCGAATGGTCGTATTGCTAGCCGTTCTTCTGATTTGTACAGGTTAAAATGCAGAACTTCACAGGCTGTGTATGTTAATAAACGACCATATAGGCGTCGTATTCCAAATGTCAATTCTCAGGCAAATACTTTACCACAAACTAACTCTGAGTTTGGTATCATTCCTAATGATGAAAACCCAGTTGATCAGGTTCAATCGGTCAGTTGTTCCAACAGACCAACAGGTCTTAGACGAAAATACACTCGACGCAATTCATCTTCAAGATTTTCTTATACTAGAAAACCTAATGCTAGAAGTACGCAGTCCAACTACACTAACTCAATTGTTGACTTTAATAACTTGGTTAAAAAACAGGAAGCATTTGTACGGGCTTTTGCTATCCCAACACACTTGTATAGATATCTTTCCCATCGTCATCGTGAACGTCCGTTATATCTGGACCGTAATCTCAGCTATTTGATGCCAAATCCATCCCGTAAACGGTCGTCTGGTAAGTTAAAATCCCCACTATATTAGTTTCTTAGGTCTGCATAATAAGTGTGTCTAAAATTTGATTTCAATTTATTTTAATAACCGTAATCAGCAACGCGACTTGCCAGCTTAAACAGTGAATAGCTAATTTCAAAATAAAGGAATAAAATCCTGCTGAATACAAAGATACGAATCTTTTAGTATATTTAATATGTGGCTAGCAGTGGAATTTAGGAGGCACATTGCCTCCCATTTGAAATTTGTCACCTCGATGTGTCTCCATTCCAGTCTGAATGTTCATATTGAAACTTAAATCCAGTATCTTTCTCTTCAAACACCGACGCGTAATCCACCGATCTACTGAGTCGATGTAACCACAATCTTGTTCAACGAGCTTAAATTTATCACGGGTTTGTAATTTCCCGTTGTTAATACTCAGAAGTAGAACTAGTCAATCCTTTTTGCCTGATCTGTTTCCCCAACGAGTTGTCTCTATATAGCATGTAATTACAAGTTTTAGCATATTTGATATATGGTTAGCGGCGAACGAGTTATCGAGTGATACTACCCTACTGCCTAAACCGAAGTAAATGGAATTTAAACTAGAGACCTGTTTGGTATGAATACCGAGTCCTTTAACCACAAAACCACCGCCCCCATAAAAGTTATAACTTTCTTCACGTTTGTTTTTGGCAAAAAATATAACAACCATAACCATTAAGTATTTCGATCAACTTGTAGTTTATTATTGATCTAGGTTCACGTCCAAGCATAAACAGAATTGTAGAACGTCTAATTGAAAGACGAAAAGATTGCAGACAGAATGATGAATTGAAGGATTTTAGTAAGTACTCAGAATCCATTTCGTCTTCCTCTTCAACGACTCCTGGTGAATTGCCTCAAGAATTAGAACTCGTTTTTGAAGGCTTTTACGATAGTGAAAAAGAAGTGGATTGGGTCACCGTGGACGTAAGTGCATTGTTTTGTGTTGAATAGTATCTCACTTGCTTATTGTTGTACAATTCCATCGGTTTTTAATTTTTTTTAACCATTCATTTAACTTTATAAAAATTCTACCTGGTACACATGTTTATGTAACAAATTCTTCAGTGTTTAAATTAACTGGATAATAAATCTTTTGATATCCTTCAAGTCAAACAGTCAGTCGTTGGCAACACAGAATCTGGCACATATGTATATCGGCCCAAGTTACCCCATCTTATAAGCATAACAAGATGAAACTATAATAACAAGTACCAAAGTAATTGAAGTAGTAACAACAATATCACTGTTAGTAGCAAAACACGTTAGACATTGTCAGTATACTTTAAAAACGAATGAATGACTTCACACAATAAAACTATGAAATAATTTCAAAAATTCAAGATCTAATGGGTAAAGAGTATTATATGGATCTGAACCATTTAGAGTTGCTTCTAAACCATATTAACCAATTCATCTACAAATATTGTGTAAAAAGAGAGTTAGTTGCTAGCAACGACAACTAGTAATCCTTGCTTCCATTCTTCATATTAATTGTGGATTAAAATAAAATTTATTAGTTTTATGCATACACGTAAGTTTATGACTGAAAAACGTTTTCTAAAATTGAAAGCGAATTATATGAAACTAAATAGTGTTAGTTTTTTTTAAGCCAATAGTGTTCATTCTTGATCACTTTCAAAGTCAAATTCAACAGTTTTCATTCACTGTTCGTGAGTATGAACTTGTGTTTTTATAGTTTTAGTAGTCCTGAGTTAAACAATAATTATTGTGTATTCATGCTCTTACTTAAGGAGTGAGTACACTGTTTTACTTTACGGTTGTGGAACGTGGTATTTGAAAGTAGACTTTATTCGTGAGTTATTAGTATTTAATTACAAGTATCTTTGAACCGTTACTCACATTGGTGAAGAAATATCAAATGAGCTTAGATCAGTTAACCATAGATAGCAAATCAGTTAATAAAGCTTTGAATCAATTTTTATATTGATGAACTAATCAACTTCTATCGACATGTAATCTCGTAATAGACACCTCTATAATATCTATGTACTATTTCTCCATTGATTAACAGGATAAATTAACTAACATGACTAGATTTATTCATTTCATTCAAAATATTAAAAACATGGATAGGGTGAAATTTAAAGCTGTTGGGTGGTTTGGCAATTCGAAAAAAGCTCAACGCTTATGATTATAATGAAAATCATAAATTGTTGCACATAATCTCTACGTAATAAAGTCGAACAATTAAAGGGCATATGATCTTAGAATGTATACAGTAAAATTAAACTACGCACATTCAATTATCTAAACTGAACTAAAATTTCTTTATTTATTGGTAGTATCGGAAAGGTTTTGTATAATTAATGAATAGCTTTTACTAGTAATTGACATTAATAAGCCATTCAGAAGTATTTACCACAAAACAGTTATTTTATCACTTCCTAGTTCAAGTTTAGTTTTTTACAAGTGGTTTGAACAAAAATTTGTTTTAATTATATATAGTGAAATGATGAGGCATGCTCATATAAATTCGTTATTGACCTTGTTCGTATTGTCTTTTTGTTGGTTAAATCGTAGCAGAAATGCAATTGGGGTAGTTTGTCTTAAAGTGATGAAATCATATCACATTCACACCATTTTATCATCGTGTCCAGTGCTGGTTTCCATTTAAGTTGCTTAAGCCTGTTACTCATGTCACTATAAGGTAATCATGTATTTAAATGACTTAGTTTTAAAATAGTCAAATAACGACATCTTAACCTTTTAATATCTAAGCCACTATATTACATTGTTTGACGTTGAAAAAAAACTAGTTGTACTGTGCTTTCGGATATTAACACTAGCTCTCACACAAACTCTGACTTAAAGCCAAGTATATACATGTCAACCAAGTGTAACTGTTGTGACTGGTAGATTCAATTTAAATAGGTAAATGAAGTCCAGTGGGAAGTTAACTATGTAATTCTTCCAGTACTCTGTCTGTAGCCCTTCTGGGGTTACTGTCGGTCCCAAGCCCGGATAAAAGTGGGGGGTAGGGCATGTAGTCAGCAACCACATCCCATAGAAAACAGCTTTGTTAAAAAAGGCTAGTCAGAATAAATCATCCAAACCATTTAAACTGTCCTGGAAGTTAAAGTATCTTATTTAGAAGAATTATGACATCTAATGGTGAAAGTGGAATTTCATCGAAAGTAACAAGGCCGATGCCCCTTTTAATAACCAGAGCAACAATTAATATAGGTACATAAAATGTCCGGACATTATAGGAGACCGGAGGACCCGTCATATATCTGCGGAAATGAGATATAACATGGCATATACAAAGCTAAATGGGTCTCACCGGATCGCACTACAGAGAATCAGATCGATCATATTTGCATCAGTAAAAAATTCAGAAGGTCAATAGAAGACGTGAGAACCAAACGTGGAGCTAACATAGCTTCTGATCACTGCCTGGTGGTTGCCAAGATGAAACTGAAGCTAGAGAAACACTGAAAAACTCAACGAATTCTAGATATTTCTCAGCAATACTTTCCAAGCCTTACGAGATCTATTCATTCAAAGAAGAAACTACTGTGGATAACAGTTGGAAAGGGATCAAAGAATCACTAACTTCAATGAGCCGGGAGGTGCTGGTACAATAAATACAGAAGCACCATCATGAGGAATGGATCTCTACCGATACTTTGGGCAAGATTTAACAATGGAAAAAGTGACAGCAATTAAAAGCAGCCGAATAAGAGCAGAGAAATTCAATGCTCAGAATCAAACATGAGAATGAAGAGGGGCATTAGAGCCAAAAAGCAGAAATATGTGGATGACCAAGTAGTAACAGCGGGAAACTCTGCAAGCGAGGGAAATATCCAACAACTATATGATAGAACGAAAAGAACTGGTAAGGGAATACAGTAAATCAACAAGCAGAAGGCAAAAAGCAAAGTCCTAAAATACAACCTAGAAATCACTAGTCCAATCACACTTGATGGAGAAGCTCTAGAAGAAGTGGAGATTTTTACGTACCTGAGCAGCATTATCGATAAACAAGGAATATATGATGCATATTTCAAGTCGCGGATTAGCAAAGCGATGGCAGCATTCCTACAAGTAAATAATATAAAGAACTCAAAAAAGTTATCAGCCAACATCAAAACCAGGATTTTCAGTACGAACGTCAAGACGATTCTATAGTACGGAGCTAAAACGTTGATAACCACAACCATTGTCAAAAAAGTGCAGGTATTTATAAACGATCCTCTACTCAAGATACTTCAGACCTGTTGGCCGAATACTATCACTAACAGTCTACTACGGTAGAAAACAAACTAGGCTCCAGCTGAAGAGGAAACAATACTAAAACTTGATAGGTCACACTTCATGGAAATCATTAAACTGCGTCATGACACGAGGCAATCTCTAACTTGGAATTCTTAAGGGAACAGGAAAACCGAGGAACACATTGTGTCGGAAATTGGAGGCAGACGTCAAAAGAATGTGTATCAATTGAAAACAGCTGAGAGGGCAAGCCTAGAACAGAGTTGGTTGGAGCATCCTGGTCGGTGACCTATGCTCTCTCGAGGGTTAACAGTCGTAAGTTCAAAACTGCATTCTAGCAAATAGACCATGCTGGTCGTTTGCCGGTTCTTGATACCAAATTTATACTCAGAGATGTATATTGTTCGACTTGGTAATTCATTATCCACCGTATATTTCACCCAGATATGTCATGTTGTTATTAACCATTGTTGGATAGGGTCGATAACGGGCTAAAGCTCATATCCGTGCTTTTATGTTGTTGTTGAAGTATTACAAGTTTTTTATGATGTTGAAAGAAAAATCGAGAGTATGCAAAGTGTTGGCATAACTCAATCCTCATACAAAACTAAACATTACATTTTGATTTAAAAATGTAATTTGTATTAGTATTCTTATTAAATTATTCTAGTTGTATAGTAGCATAGTTTGCAATGCTGCCTTATTATATACATATTGGAATATATTGCATAAACAATTTCCCACATTTTTTTAAAATTAAGGCTTCTGTTAATGTTCATTTACGCTTTGGATGGGCATGGCGCCGTAAAATATGCCCAGATGATACAATTTTAAATATAACGCCAAATCCAATTCGAATAAATTGTTACAGTCATTCAACTGGTTACACTTCACTAGTTAACTCACCACCTACTTCTAATAATGATAATAGTATTACTGCTACTACAAATACGACCCATACCACTTGTCGTTTCTCTTTAACCGATCTAATTAATCAAGTTAAATGGAATACATCTAGTGGTCGTTTAACATCTGCTCAATTGGAGTTACATGTTTCCGCCACTGAACGACGTTGGTTAAAACGTCCCGATTTAAGTCATGGAGCAGTTAGTTTGAATGGAATTACTCCAAACATTTCAAACAACTTAACAAATCATATTGTTAATCATATAAACCATAACAATAATAGTAATAATAACCTAACCCAAAATTCGTCTAAAAGTACTCATACTGATGGGAAAAACAACAATAGCCGTGTAACATTTATCAATGGTAATCCATTGCGTAAAGGTGGTTTAAGTTCAAATTCTTATCCAGTTCAATATGCTACATCTCCATTGCCTTTGATCGTATCTTCAGTTGGTTTCGGTAAGTTATTAAAACTAATTTTATTATGTCAAATCATCTCGTTATATTTTAATTTTCATTTATAATAATACAAAGTTTCCTGCTACGTTTAGGTTTTTTTACTCTGATGTTTTACTTGTCATTCTTTCAATGTTTAATATTTCTCAATATAATTGATACTACATTTTTTCAATTCGTTTACTATTCATCTTGTTAATATCATCTCATTGTGCTAATGTGATATGACAATTTCGACCAACATATATATGAATTCATTATATTAAGGAAAGAATCGTATTTCTCACTGCTCTGTTGCTGTTGCACTAATATAAAGCTTTTTTGTCCTATGCTATCTTATCACTAACAGAGATCGAACTAAGTTTTAAAGAGAATACAATATTGTGAAACTAGTAAACTAATGTGTTCATACGCTAAGCTACTCTTTCGTAAATCCAATTTCGATACAGTAAAAAACACTACTGTCCTCTTCTATGTCTCCGCTTATTAGAGTGAGAAGTCTAGTTCTGTGTAAAAGTTTTGTTGATATGAACTCTCAGATGAATCAAAAATACACTTAACCAATTACACTTTATTACTATATAATAAGACTAATAAGTCCTATCTGTGCATTTGTTAATTAGGGTAATCCAAATAGGTTATTGAGTGTTGTTAGTCTTATACCTAACATTTTATTTCACTCAGTAAATTGGTAACATCTTAAGTTCATTCTCAAGTGGTCGTTTTGTTTGTTGAAGAAAAGTATTTACGAACTATAAAAACAGCGGGTTGGGGTGAATGATTAGAACTTTTGGATATTAAGCTCCAACTTAAGAAAATGATTAATGGACGCGTGTATGTCAATGTCACTGGTTTCAAGTAGTGTAACCTCAATTATGCAGTCATAGATTGTGATTATTTCACGAAACCTAAATATAAAGCCAATGATTCATGGGACGGTGCGATGCAGTAGATGGTAGCTTCATTAGCTGACGGCTTGATATCTTGCTCTGGGTTTACATATGGTAGGTGTTATGTCCTTCAACCACGTACAAGACTCAACTGTATCTACTTACATGACCTCTCATATTTGGTATTACAACTGTGAATCATACTATTTGTATATTTGAGTGTACTCGTGTACTTCACAAGAGTGAAATTTTAAAATAGCATTAAGTTTGGAAACGAAATATATATTCTCCTGTCGGATTTTGATTGACAATCTCATTCTCTATCCGATCAAGTTCCTTAGTGAAACGTAGAAAGATCACAACAGTTTAATTATTGAGTACGGTTATTGTGATCTCAATTTAGAAGTAAACAAGTTCTTCAGGTAGCTTTTACACTCTAAATTAATTTTGACTGATTTATGGGCTATCTTAATCAGTGGTCATCATTCTCAGTTGGTTTGCAGTTGTTATTCAACTCGTTATTGTTGATTCTTGAGATGTGACAGTGCTATTGCATACTGGTTATTTACGTGAATATTGAAATAGAGCCTGATAAGAACCCAATAATTAATGTTAATTGTTCTTTTGTAGACACACATTCTCGCTGCTAAAAAGCCTTATTGACGAGTTCCAGCTAACATCAAAACCCCTAGGTCCAGTGCTCATTGTCGCGATTCCCTACAACCCCTTAACACTGAACAAAGCTCACCACGATTTCGAGTTTTCTCCACAGACTAGTAACTATTGCCACTTGATCTGTAGAACTCAGTAATTAGGACTGAATTAAATGAGACTTCGTTATTATTGTGTTATTAATCATTATGTAAATCTTTCTTGCAAGAGTTCAGTCGCGGCTCGGATATCACCTGGTGGTGACATTTGTCTGTAGCATGTGTTAGAAGCACACGGGTAACAGTCTCTGAGACTACAGATAGGGCTTGCTAATAAGTCATGACCAACCTGAAATCTCGAGGTTTAGGGCTTCCTGCAGATCATATCTTATCATCTAATGCTTGGATTTATTTTTTTCAACTCATTTACCAGATAGAGAATTGTACACTTGGCTTCGAGCCACACTAAATATGAAGGCTAGTGATGCTACCCGGTTACCTAGATCGAAGTAGGTGGGACAGGGTTCAAACATGTGACCACTGAGCCACCTCTCCACACACTGATATTACGTAGATATTCAAGAACCGATCAGTCACCTAGATTTTCTAAAATATATGTAAATATAGATGGGTGTAACGATGCTAAATCAGGCTTGAAACATGTTCTGACTGTATAACCTGCAGAGTTCAACACTATGTTGCTTACAGTTTCGTGTTGATATTCGCTTACCCCCGCTTCGTTGTTTATATAATGAAACAATAATTAATATTTTTATATCCATCTATTATAGTAGGTTTTAATTTGTTTTCGTTTCTGTGTTTCGAAAAAAATGGTATAGATAGTCCCAGTACCGGTCGTCAACTGCTTCTGACTCCTGGTTTATATGAATTACGCCTTGGTGTAGACACGTCCGACGGCAATGGTAGTAGTGGTGGAGTGATGAATAAAGTTGTGCCATTAAAATGTTTAGATGACAATGTAAGTGAAAAGTCATATGTTTCAGCTAACAACGACCAAGCAAGTGACACGTGCTCTAGTCAAGTTGAATGGAGGCGCATTCGGTTTCCTAATTCTTCCACGGCACTAGATGAGTATTCTCGATGGCCTCGTCTTCGGTTTTCTGTCATATGGCATAATAAATTGGAAAATAATCAAATCATTTCACCTTGTAGATCGATGGAAACTCGAAGACAAGATAATACCCATATACATATGGAGGGTCGATCCTCTCTTACACGTTCCATGACAAGTTCTCATAATCGAGATGTAATCAAGTCTCAAAATCAGTCTGCCACACCGCATAAACAAATAGTTTTGAAGGAGTCTTGCGACTCTTCTGTATTCAAAGATTCAATCGGTTTAGATAAATGTCTCTCCAATCGTGTACAACAAAGTCTCTCTGCTCATTTTGGACCAGACGTTGATAAGCCCACGTCTACGAAGACGCCACACTTAATTCATCCAATCACATACGGTTTTGTATTCGGGGGTAATTTACAACAATGGTCTCAGTCCACTGATCTTGTTTGTCCATGGTGCCACTTAGATTGTGCCCGTGCTGGTGATAAAGGTCCTGAAGCCTTGATTCTTCATCTTCGAACTTGTCATCCAAGATTTCGTCTCAAGGTTATGTGGGATTCATCACATACACGGTTAAGCCTACAAGTTTCATTAAATGAAGCATATGACGGTTCAAATGATTGTGGTATACGTAGATGGTGTCCGAGCGGTCGAAATATTTTCATTTTACGACATCATGTCATTCCATCATCTGATCAGTTAGTCGGTAGTTGTGCTGCCCTAGGTATAAATAGTAATGCCAAACAGTCAGGTAATCAAGGTCGTCATTCTATTTCGCCAACTGTGATTGATGCCACTGTTCGAATTCGTTGTCCTGTTCGACGATTGCCGTACACACATTTGATATTTTGGCGTGGTGCTGAATTATCGACTGATCAGGTCAGTAATGGATCTTTCTGCATAATTTTATTATTTTTCTATAGATACCTTTGAAACTGTGTTGATAGTGCATGAAAAATAGACTATTATTATTATTATTATTATTATTATTATTATTATTATTATTATTATTATTATTATTATTATTATTGATTTCTCTGAAAAAATATGTGTATTAATCCAGCTGTGCTACTGAAACCAAACAGTCGACGAAATAACCTGTTACTAATTGGGCTATCAAATGAGTAGTATTGTATTCCTATGCTCTTCTCACAAAAATTTAAATAACAAATTTGTATGAACCTAAGTGATATACAGCTAACCCAGAAGTCCATCGCAATCAATTAGTCATGTGCAACTTAGAACCTAATACTTATGTGCATTGGCTTAAGTTGTAATACCACATAAGCACAATGAGATAAAATTATCAAGACTTACTTCAGAGCAGTAGAATTAAAAACAGTATCAGTAGTCGCAGAAAATATTAGGTGCAGAAAAATAAAAAAATAAAGTATAGGAAGATTTCGGGAAGCAGGTTTTAAGGGAAGATAGAGTGAATGCACTTGCATTATTGCAAACAGTTCTTAGACATATCACCCGAAGTCTATAGCCATTAATTACGATAATTAGACCGATTCCAATTAGGTTGTTTGCACTTATTAACGTGTCTCAGACCAGTTATCAGTGACTTCACAAACTGGTGCCACGTCTTGGTTTAAACTCCCCTATCTTTGTTCCAGCCTACTCTTAAATCAGCAAACATCTCGCATTAAGGTAGGTGTTAATTGGAAATACGCAATGCATGTCCCAACTACCTCAGTTTATAATTTACCACATCAATCGATTCGCCATTTTTCGTAGTACTATATTCCTAACCTCAATATTTCTAACTCAATGGTCCCAAAATACGCTAGCAATGCTTTGTAGGCATCTATGAACCTATGAATATCCTCTATTCTTATTCGTCGTGCCTCATAACCATAATGTAGAACTACTGTGTAGTAACTTCGTCATGTGATTGGCAGATGATTATCTCGTTCACATCAAAAGTGACTCTAGTTGGTCAAAGGCGACCGATATTTTTCAATCCACGCCGAGATTTCCCCAGACACTATCCCATCAGGGGTGAGAGACTCCCACGATAAGTGAAGCAGTCGGCTCACTCAACCACTTCACTCCCTGTCATTAGCTTAGATGTTGATGCGGTCCAGTACTGAAACATTTTGAGTTTTGAGGTAGAGAATCACATCTCAAACATGCTTACACTTTTGCTTAAGACTATTAGAAGACCCTACATTTAATCAACTTTTCTCCAAATACGATTATCATCTGCATATTTTAAGTTAAGAAGTGAACATCCGGTAAGGAGATCAACCGCTCGAAAGCTAAATATGGGAAGTATTACTTCTAGGAGAACATCTAAAACGAAGTTTAATGAAGATGGAGAAATTAGGTAGCCCTAACGAACGCTATGAGGTTGAAAATTCTGTTAACAGTTCACCATAACCTCTGACTCTATTGCGAATGTTCAAGTAGAAAGCCTGTACAAAGTTGATATACTCATTTGGTACGCTTCTTAATGACGGACGCTAACACAGAATATCTCAATCAACAGGGTTGGATGCTGCCTTAAGGTTAAAAAATACAATAATAGTCAAACTCCAAGAAGTACGTTCATGTTCCAGAGTCTGACTAAGGGCGAACATTAGGCTGATACATTCACACCGAGGTTAGGAACTGGTCTGGTTTTCTCATCTGAGCGTAATTGCAACAGACGGTCGCCATTATCTGTTCACCGAGCTGCAACTACGTAAGATATACAGAAGTATCTTTCGGCTTGGTTTACTCTACATTCTTGGGCATTATAACCACCAGACACTATTACATCCGAGAGTTTAACTTTTCCGAAAGAGGTTTGAAAGCTTTATACAAAACTCATATTACGCTTTATTCCAGCCTTAATTAGTGGGAGCGTAGATAGAGACACCGAATAGGCAACGGCGTCTGTTTTGATCTCTCCGAGTCCTTACAGTTCCGTTTAATCTGACAGTGCACAAGCAACTGTTCACTGGAATGCGTGATGATAAAGATATGTGCAAACGGTTAGTCGTGGGATAGGAGAATCAATACTAGGTGATGGAGGGATTTGATAGTGAACAAGTTAATCTCTGGCTCTGTTAGAGGTGTGGGAGCGGTTATGACTTCCTGGCCGCTCACACCGTGGAAGGATGTTTCTTCTTGAGGGACCTGAAGAAAAAGCTGGCTTAGTGGCCTGGGAGCATTATCACATAGCCCAAGAGAAAAATGTTTGAGATCGGTCGCCCATGGTCTCTTTATGGAAGGTTTTTGATGTATTAGCTCCGTACTTCAAAAGACCTTACTATCCGAGACAGAAATCCGTGGGGCAAGATGACGTGTGACATATTAGGGTCGATCTTTTCTAGCCCCTATTTTCTTTTGTGAGAAGACAGCATCGCTGCAGATGCTAATTTTTTGAGGAAAATACCTTGCTGCCGTCACACCCTTCTACACTCAGTAGTACAATTTCACATTAGGTTAGTGCTTTAATACTCACCGTTCCTCAACCAACCTACCTATCAAGATTGGAAAGAGAAAGAATTGTTTCACATAATATAGTTCGGTTGGGACTTCACGATGAACAAGCCCAGCCACCACGTCAAGGTAGGAGCTACAGTCGGGAATCATAGATATTAAATATATTTTATAACTTTCTCCAAGTGAACTTTAGTGTTCCTCACTACTGTTAAATGACTCGCAATTTAAACTATGAATATGCACTCATGTATTCAGCTTCATGTTGTTCGGTTTATGCGTACTTTTTAGTTTCGGTTCTCTCGTGTTCCAGGTCCAGGGTTTCTTAGCTCACAGAAGGTAAGGCAGTGGAGCAACGTTGACAGATGCCTTCCCATGGTAGCCGGTGACCAAAAATATGTCTATACGCCCTTTGTTTCCTCAGGATCCTGGAACCCATGTGCACATTTGGTGTGGAAACAGGGTTTTCCGACTCTCCTTTGTGGACCCTCCGTATCCACCAACCCGATTAAAGCACCGGACATTTACGTTTCATCCTCTCAACTTCGTAAACAACACCCGCTACAAAAAGGCAGTGAGTAGGACTTCACTGGTAGTGGCTGTATTCGCATGTCTATGTGAGAGGATTTTGAGAGGGAGAGCTGACTCCCCTTTCTTAGCATTTGGGGGCAACTTGTTACCCTACATAAAATGTCATTGTCCTCATGTAATTGATTGTCGGTGTATCGTACTGATACCCTCATAACTTAAAAAAGTTAGTGACTATATATCTGGGCTCATTAGTAGGTTACTGAATCACCACAAGCACTGGTTTTGAGTTTCAGTGTGAACATCTACACGGATCTATGCGAATAGAGCTGACGAGCCCCACGTAAGACGAGACCTACACTTTGGATTCCATTACTAGCTAAATGCATACCAAATATACTAAAACTCTTAATAAGAAGGTTACACTGATAATCCGCTTAGAACAAATCCCGACAGGCTGGCCAATCGCAGTCCCCAAATACCAAAACATCGCGAAATTATTGATTCGTACCAAAAAATTCTCGTGTCAACACCCATTGCATCAACATATTTCTTAAATTGTTTTAATCAGGTCAGTTTCCATAAAGTTTATTATTCTGTTACTTTCTGAAACAATACCTGTGCTATTTCTCGTTTTTTAGTGTTTCTAATTTAATGTTTTTTCTTTGTTTTTCGCTCGCTTATTTCCGCACACACATGTGTGTACCTAGTTACTTGATCCTACATTATCGGTGCGACCTATGGTCACTGGACATAATCGTATTTATTATCATACACGTACATCCCAGCCTGTTCGTGCTTGTGAATTTGATGTGGACTCTGAAGCGGAAGATGCTCCAGTCTGGCTTCGTCAACATTATCAACGTAAAGTGGAGGAGTTCACCGATGTGAATGCGGTCAGTGTTTTTTCTCACTTCCTTTCTATGTACTTTCAAAGCGTTTTCTGCCTAATACCATCGTAATAAATCTATATTAGACAGAAAATGGGGAGACACACTGCTATTGTTAAGCCATTCTGGACTGTTGATATTATTATTTTTTTTGTATAGCTTGGTATGAATTTATGACTATCTTGTCACAGTAATTGTTTTTTTGTCTCCCTATCTGTATAGAATTTGAGATAACTGTAATATAAGTACAAAGCACTAACAAATTTTCACGCCAAGAATTTTATTATTTTAGCACAGTGTGTGTTGTTGTGATATAAACGAATCTAATATGTATTTGATACATTTTAATTGTGGCTAGATGCGTCATCAAATTTCAGAACTGGATAACAACAGCACCTATTTCATTTAAAAGTGAGCTCAGTTATTCCACAACTATTGAATCGATTGGCTCTGATGCATTTGGTTATCTTCATTTTTTCTGTTATTTGAGTTGACTATCTTGTTCGCTTAATCGGTCACCATATGTTTGATCAATGGTTCAGATTCGGATACACGAATTCATTCCGTTCCCCCATTATTACCATTATTATTATTACACTACCTTACACCAATCTCTTCGTTATTGTTCTCTTTTTTTACTCTCCTTACCTTTTTTCTCTTTCCTTTTCTTTAAACTCTCATTGTTTTGTGTGGCGCATATATATTGGCGCTCTCTTGTACCAATATTTATGTGTTCAAATAAATAAATAAAAATAAAGTAGCAATTAAGCGAAGCTATGTTATCACTAATATCAGTGCACGTAGAAAACTACATATAAATTTAATTGGGCCAACTTTAGAATTATGGACCAAGAGAATTCTAAGGCCAGTTTATTTCTAAAAGTATGATATTCATATCAATTGACTTATGTATTCATTCTGTCAATCTTTTCGAAAAGGATTGATCAAGTACACATGGTTAGTGATCAGCTGATCGAGGCAGTCAACTTGATTACAATGGTAAATTAAGGCAACAAATCCTACGAACACACACAAATCGCAAATAAGAATATAAAAACAAACTGCTTTAAATGTTATAAAATAACTGAGAAGCTCACTTTTATATGAATGGCAGCAAAAACTTCTGCAATTTAAACCATCTCATTCAGCTAACTCAACAACACTAAAATTGTTCACTTGAACTGTAAATAATCACTATCATTTTGATATTGTTTGTTAGGGATAGTGATATAAATTGTTCAATGAATTATTATTTGTTTATATCCTAGTTCTAAATCGTTTATGCAAAAACTATTGCTGGATATTCAAGCAATAATTTGATGAATCCTTTGAAAATATTTAAGTTGTAAATTGATCTGAGAAAAACTTGTGTGAATTTTTCTTGTCCAAATCTCATTATTAATTAAATGTGGAATTCTTTATTCCACTCTTATATTGTTTATTTATTTATTCAGGGTGAAAAACAAATTATGCAATTGTGGAATGCTTTACTACTATCAATTCGTCCATCCGGTTTAGTAGTTTGTGACAGTCAAGTATTAACATTAGTCTGTCAATTTATACATCAGCATAGTCGATGGATTCATAGACGACGTCTACGTACTAATCTATTGTTACATTTAGTGAATCTTGTTGATTATGGCTTATTATCATCTAGTCAATTACGTCAATTAATGTTAATTCATGATAAACATGTACAAGAATTAAATTCAATCAACAATACATCAGTGAATAATAATCACATGATTAATACACAACCATTATCATCTCCATCAAACGCTTCAACAACATCTTCCTTACCCGACTCTAAATTAGTTAATCATCATATTAATAAGTCGCAACCAATTATTCCACGTCTTCTTCAGATGTTCTCTTCAACATCTAATTCATAGTGCAAAAAAAAAATTCAATGCTGCTTACACTCTTGTTTCCCAATTTGTATACTCCTCCCTTCTATGTATGTATGTGTCCGTGACATTAATACTTAGAATAGTTCGAGAGACGGATGTGTGTGTGTATGTGAATCGTTGCATTTTTTTTATTTACAGATGTTTCCGTATAGGCCAAATAAATTGTTTTTTGGATTTCTAATTTTTCTTTTTTTTTTACAATGAAATCATACAAAACAGTAATTATTCTCACACAATAAGTATGTCCATGTGTATGTTTCTTCTCTCCTTAGAATTATGCTCAATTTTTTCTCCACTTTTCATCTTTCCTGTGTGTTTTGTGTCGTTATTCAGTCGTGTAAAATCTCAACATCATTTTGATTGTTTTGTATTTTTACAAATAAAAATTTCTAGATTTTACAAATTCCCAGGGTCTATATGTTTGTCTATAAACTTACGTACGTACAACTATATATAATTATTAACGATAATGTGACCGTTTTAATTTTATAAGCTATTTGTATTTCTGTAGTGTATACAAGTGTTCCTTCCACTCCCTTTTCATTGTTGTTCATTTATTGAATATCACTTTTTCCATTCAACAATTAACTATCCTCAGGGGACGTTCATCAGCTTGGTTCCTGGTAGTGTTTTTCGTTTTTTTCTGCTCTTTCATTATAATATATATATGTGTGTGCTTTCTATTCAACTATAATCTGTCTTTTGTAGCCTGTTCATGTGCATGTATACACATACGTTTGTGCCATGCATATTATTTCGTCAATTGTAATAACAAAATCCTAAAAGTCTGTGCCTTCTTCATATTGATGATGAATTTCTAAAGAAAAAATGATGAAGAGCTGTCTCATATTATCATTATTACTAGTATTATTATTATTACTATTAATAGAATTATTCTTATTAGATTTTGTTTTCAAGAATACAAATGTACCATGTATGTGTGTATAGGTATTCAATAACTTTCTTGTATATTACAATTGTTTATCTGTTCAATTATGATTGTTTTCTATTCTCATGTATAATTCAACTGTAAAGTGAAATGTGTAATGTAAGAAAGATAAGCGTAAAAATAATCAAGTTCAAAAACTCATTTATATTGACAAGTGAAAGTAATGTAATTACTATTATTATAATTATTCTCTAGGTAGGATTTTTATTGTCCATTTATGGTTATTATGACTACTATTATTTTTAAATTTTTTTTTAGTAAGGTATCTTCGTTTTTTTTCCTGCTCTGAAATTATCAGAAGTGCAAAGTATAGTTTAATGAATAACTGACTTGTTTAGTCGTATTTTTCTCCTGTCTAATTCAATGAACAATGTATATTATTATATCATCAAAAATATTTTTCTATTACTACTATTATGTAATAACCGGTCACTGTCCTCGTTGTTGTTGTTGTTTTCGCTGTTGTTATGATTAACTCAGGCTTGTTTGTGTTTCGTACATATTATGATTGATCTTATCACTTTTTCTACTTCTACTCAACAACTATTAGTTCAATTAATTTTTTTCCGACTTAACATGTAGCTATGATTTTCTCTGTGTGTGTGTGTATTTACTTTTTCCTTAGTATATAGGATAAGTTTATTTTCGTCTCGATAAGATTTTGGTCTCGAATCCCTTATTTCGGTTTGCTTATTTACTTTGACTATTCCGGATGATGACGACGCGTTTCATTCTTTGTGTTTGTATGTGTGTATGTTTTAGGAATATTTATTTGTCTCCCTGTCCCTCCTCCCTCTGCTTATGATTATAGGAGTTTTTTGTGGCGCATTGAATTGTGCGAACACTTATTCTTGTATGATTTGTTAATTAATTTTCTCCTATGTACTTAGGATTTATACATGTAATACGTATTAGCTTTAATTGTCATTGAAACAACTGATGAGTACATTTTTCTACATACACATATATACTTAAATATTTATTTACTGTAATGCCATCTTTATGTTTGTACGTGTTTTCTACATTCTATTCTCATTTCTTTCTTTTTCATACAATCATCTTTGCTTATCTATTCACAGGAAACTGATTCCTAATCTTGTCCTATTTTACATTCTTCTGGCAGCTACCTGTTCTTTTGTGTGTATATGATACGACCATGTTTGTGCGTGTATACACACACGTACAACATTCTTTTGATATCTGTAAGACTAATGTTTCCTTTTTGAGATATTATCCTACTATGTTTGCTTATCGAGAAAGTTTTGTATGTATCTGTGTATGTTTGTACTCGTTCCATCTCAATTACCCTTTACATTTTATACTTTTTTCAATATGGTAATCGTAACAATTTTTTGTAAAAGATGTTTCCATCTACTTTTTTATACCCAAATGTATATATATATATATATATATATATATATATATATATATATATATATATGTTTAGTTATTAAGAAGAGTGCTTGATGCACTGTATAGGCTTTTCCTATTTCAAAATAAAAATTTCTTCTAATTATTTATTCGCATTTGTTCTTGTCCATAGTTTTATGCTGTGATTGTTTTTGCCTCATTTTCGTACTGTTGTCATGTACGCTGTTGTTGTTTAATGATGATGATTTAACTTCCCTAACGTAGTAGTAGTCCTGTTTTCGCTCACCTTCTAAATATTTTTCTACGAAATACCATGTACTCACTAGTGACCAGCTTTAAAGAAAGTTCTATTGAGAAACCGTGACTAATGTAGTTCGACCATGTTGAATGTGAAAAGGTTACCCACCGAAGACAGTGATAGATAGTCATGCAGTATTGCAGATTAGTTGGAGTCAGATTTATACACCATCACTGTGCTAGAGATCTCGCTTTCTTGCACGAAACCGAATGTCTTGGGTCTGATCCCTGGTTGCGGGGTCGTGGGTGCACACTGGTGAATTCCATACTAGGACTAAACTATAGTCCAATACCACCAAGTTTTCAGTAATTGTCTAACACAGATCGCTTCATAATGTCGATATAATAGTGGTTTTTCGAACAACTAACACTTCCATCTTTTGTGTTAGTTGCATTAAACAAACAATCTGCTCGTTGTAGATAAAAATGGACAATCTAGTGCTTTTGTATCATGATCGCGGAATAGATATATTTCAATCAATCGCAGATATTGTGCAAGTACTTTAGTCCAAGCTAAATTGAGTAAACTAAATAACTAAAATGTCAGTGAAGAGAAGAATTTTACCCCTTATCTTTCAGCAGTACTTGAATGAATGAAATAAAATTACCTGTTTTTTTTTAATTCTAAGAATTTCTGTAAACTATGTCTTATCAACTGCTTGTCTATTGATCCATATACCGAAAACTTCTGAGAACTCTTAACGTAGTTTACTAAATACTAGGGGATTACTTCGAAATTTTAATGTTTCTCGAATAGCACTTGTTGAATTGAAAAATGTCATTTTAAGAGACATCAACTTGACCATAGACCATTGGATTTGAGAATCATTCCTAAATAATGTCGATTATAAATAAATTATATTACGAACTCATTACTCTCGATCGTTGTGTATTCTGCCGCTTCATTCTTATATGTGGATGCTTTATTTCATAAAACTAGTTACGTTAACGTTGATTATACAGCTGGTACGCTTAATCCTTTAAATTCACTCCCTCGTTTTATAGTTTGATATTATATTCACAGTTACTTTCCCATTCTGTATGTTGTGCGATTGTACATTAAAAAAATAAACTCAAAGCTATATCCCTTCATAAATATAGTTCTTGTTTAACTATTAATATTTTTTGCTGTTGTGTTCCAGTTTCTGAGATAAATATGACTAATCCAATGAACGATGAATCTATTTGGGATTCTGGTGAAGATGAGTCCGTAATAGATCCTGAGGTTCCCATTGGTATGTGTAGTTCCTACAGCTTAGATTTCAGCGGTGTGTCATTTAGTTTTATTTTCGTTTACTCAAGCCATTAGTTGTTTTTACACATTTGATTGTAAAAACGGTATTTATTTCCTATTCCTCTCACCTTAAGCCCGATACAGGATTCCGAAGTTATCATTATGTCCATCGCATCGCTATCAGCCACCGATGGAGGGGCTCGATAGAAGACTGTCGCTCATTCTGGAGCACATGCCTAGATTCAGATCATGCTCTAGTACGAGCGCGTATTTGCTTGCGTCTTACTGGACGTAGGAAAACCGCTGCAAGGAAACCGATTAGGGGCTTCTTAATGATAGTCAAGCTAAGAGTATATTTCAGGAACAACTAGGAAAACAGTTAGGCAGCCATGTATGTGATGCCCACCCCGAGGCAGCATGGAATGATATCCGAAAAGCTGTGGAAACAGCAGTGATATCTGTTAGTAAGGTAAACCAGAAGGTTAGGGAGCAACACTGGATCTCAGCAGCATCCATCGCACTGATAGATGCTCGGAAACTCATTCCACCTGGCTCTAAACATAGTGAAGAGCAGAGTCAGCTTAAGTGCAAACTGACAAGAAGTCTACGCAATGATCGCGAACAGTGGTGGGTAGCGAAAGCAAGAGAGATGGAAAAGGCAACGGCAATAGGTAATAGCAGACAATTGTTTAGACTCGTTAAGGAAACCGGAATTAGGAACCCGACTGTTAGCGAAACAATCTCAGAGAAAGATGGACATATTATTCATTCTCAATCCAGGAGATTGGATCGATGGGCAGAACACTTTAGGGATCAGTTCAACTGGCCTTCAGCCACACTTCGGTTTCCCACGATCTCCAGTCAACCTGAATGGCAAGTTAATGTAGGTCCTCCGTCTCTTTATGAAGTTGAAAAAGCCATAGGAAATCTGAAACGAGGGAGAGCAGCAGGCCCTGACAGGTTTACTCCTGAGATTTTTAAGGATGGTGGTCCAGTATTACCAATGAGATTAACCGAGGTCTTAGGTAGAATTCGGGAACTGGACGTCATCCCATCTGACTGGTCTCAATCACTGATTGTGCCAGTTTATAAGAAAGGACAAAAGTCCTCTTGTGACAATCACAGAGGAATCAGTTTGACTAATATAGTGTCTAAAATATTAGCTTCAATAATACTTCGACGCCTAATCAAAGCTCGTGAAGAGCAGACTCGAGAAAATCAGGCTGGTTTTCGACCTGGACGTGGTTGTATAGACCAGATATTCACACTACGTCAGGTTCTAGAACACAGACACACATTCAGACGCCCCACAATGGTAGTATTTCTCGATCTTAAGGCGGCATTCGACTCTGTTGACCGTGAGGTTCTATGGCAGTGTTTGTCACTGAAAGGAGTACCAAAGAAGTACATTAACCTTATAAAGGCTCTCTACTCGAACACAACTGGTAGAGTGAGAGCTTATGGCGAACTGTCATCAGAATTGATTACCTCAAGTGGTGTTCGTCAGGGCTGTCCACTCTCCCCATTCTTGTTCAACTTTGTGGTCGACGTACTTTTAGAGATAACACTCTCCGCATCTAAATTTCCGGGGGTTGAACTTCTACCGGGAGGTTCACTTGTTGACTTAGAATATGCCGATGACATAGTTTTATTTGGCGAAGACGCTGACAAAATGCTGAGTCTTCTGACCACTCTAAGCAACAATGCAAGCATGTTCGGGATGCGATTCTCTCCCTCGAAATGCAAAATGTTGCTTCAGGATTGGGTTACATCGACACCCGAACTAGTGATAGGGAGTGAAGTAGTTGAGTGTGTCGACCGCTTCACTTATCTTGGAAGTCTCATCAGCCCTTGTGGTCTGGTGTGTGACGAAATCTCAGCACGGATACAGAAGGCTCGACTAGCTTTTGCCAACTTGCGTCATTTATGGCGTAGGCGAGATATCCGTCTACCAACCAAAGGACGTGTTTACTGCGCAGCAGTTCGTTCCGTCCTACTTTATGGCTGTGAAACATGGCCGGTAAGAGTAGAGGATATTCGTAGGTTACTAGTATTTGATCATAGGTGTCTTCGAAATATTGCTCGTATATCCTGGGACCACCGAGTAAGTAACGCAGCTGTTAGGAAACGGGTACTAGGTAAGGATGGCAAATCAATTGATGAAGTAGTGAAACTTCATCAGTTGAGATGACTGGGACACGTGTTACGTATGCCCAACCACCGACTACCTCGACGTGCTATATTCAGTGGTATAGGAGTAGGTTGGAAGAAAGGTAGGGGCGGCCAGACCAAAACATGGCACAAATCCATGAAGTCACTGACAAGTGGACTGAGTCATGTTGGTAGGTGTAGACTACCTGGTTGGGGACCGCGAGATGATAGCAACCGATGGTTAGAGACCCTGAATGACATGGCTCAAAATCGTTTGCAATGGCGCAGGTGCATCCACTCTCTATGTTCTCCCAAATTCTAATTATCTGAATTCTTCATGCCCCTTTTTTTCCTCTTTCCAAATTTATTTCACTGTATTATACTCTTTAAATAGCATCTCCAAACACTAATCTTCCCGATTACTGCTAATACTCTTATTACCTATACCACTAGGGGATTTGAATTGACCACTGCATCTCTGTGCTAATGTGGTATGGCAACTCGAACTGATGTACGTACGTACTAAGTTCTACGTTGTTACTGACTGACTGATTATGTCCAAGCATATATACATACGAATAAGGAATATAGTGTAGTTTTTGTTAGGCGATTTCAATTTTCCGGGCACTTCGACAAATCCTTTATTATTGTGTATAAAATTTTAGATTTATTGCTTATGGTTTGATGTCTTGTTGAACAAAGTAAGGTGTGATATACCACATATTTTGACTAGTTTATCGAAACAAATATCTGTTCTCAGAATCTGTCCTACCCACTATTTATTTAGCCGTAATATGAACTCGGTTCGATCTAGTTCTATCCATTTTGTGGAAACTCATTGTTGGTATTTTAAAAATGAGCTATCTGGATGACCTTTTACGTTATGTTGGCGGATGCAGACTACCTGGTTCAAATCCGCGCACTAGATTTGATGATTTCACTCAATATCAGTCCCTGTGACATTCATATTAGATTCTTCAGTTCCAGTATATTCTTTCATACATACCCTTTCATTGTGTTTTTTTTTCAAACTATACTTTCAGTGCTCAATTTTTCTCATTATCACTTTTAGTACGATTATTTTGATCTCTTAAAATTCATCAAACCGTATCAATGCCGTATGACGACTTAGTTCAACATATTTGCGTTAGACTGTACGTTGATTATGAATAAGTTTTAAAATAACTAAAAAAACACTAATTCTCAAAATTGGCAACAAATATGTAGGCGTCTGTGCCATCGGTAAGGAATTGAAATAAACATTAACTTTACTCTCAGTTTTTAACTAAATATGGGCGTAAATCTTCAGAGGATAGTTTTCGTTTTGTTGGCGATAAAGATTTGTTGATTACTGAAACTGCTCTCCTGTTAAACTCTGGAACGTAATTATTTAAGAAGGTTATTTAGCATAGCATCAGTGAGATCTCACATAGCTTAGCTGGTTAGGTATTTTTTA